CTGTCTATGCATACAGTATGTCCACAGATCAAACTGACTGCCTTGTGGCTCTTTCAACTCATCCAGGAATCAATGTTACACATTCCAAAGCAAATATCTCAAAGTTATTAAATATCTCAATTAGTCCTTTAATAGGCCTACCATGTACTGCAGCTAAGGACGTCACAGTGTTACCACAGGTGTCAATTCCAATTTCCACACACGTCATGATAGTAAGTGAAAAATTCCCTGTGTGTATAGAAGGTAATTGCAGCGTCTCAGTGGGCAAAATTCCAAAAGGCAGATGTAATGCTATTTATTCTTTTTGCCCATATATATGTAGCAGGAGGACATCTCCTCATGCTCCTGGAGGCAGGAGTGTTGGCTGCAGGGGCAGTGTCAGCCAATTGCCTCTGGAGGGCACCCTATAAAAGGGGAGTGGTGGCATTATCGGTTACCCTCTTCCTCTGGTTCCTCCGCTTTGCTTCCGGGTCGCCTCGGCTGCTGGTTAACGGTACAGGTAGGTTGCAGTGGCTGCTAGTGCGCTCAATGGATAATTGTGGTGCTGATGTGCATGTTTGGTGGTTTGTTAGACAAGACGTTCCCGGTTACAGCGCTCTTGATCAGCGCTGTTAATCAAACCTGGCCGTAATCGGCAGTTTTGCCTCCGTCCTCTTCCTCAGTGGGATTTCTCTGGTGGCCGGATCGGTATGTATGCTGTATGACAATCTGACACATTCACTTCCTGCTCCTCCACAAAGTAGTAATATTTTGTTGACAGGTCTGTGTGGGGCCTGGTGATCTGGGGAATTCCAGCGGCGTTAAATTGGGAGAAACAACACAGCTTTGACACGTTCCAGCTGCCGCTTTTATAGCTCACGGCAGTCGGACGCCTGAGCTGCGGCTCCATCTCGGTCCCAACTTTTGTTTAACCACGGCGGTGCGGTCTGAGACGCCTTAATCAGCCGGTATCGTGGCTGGTTAAACTTGTAGCCCGCCTGCAGCAGAAATTGCCCTCTTCCAGCAGCATAGGCCGGGCTGGATTATTCAAAGGGCTGTTTATGTGACGACTGTTCAACCTCTGTTACTGGACTGGTTCTTGATTGTTATTATTCCCGGTATTATTTTTCTTATCCTGAGTTTATTCAGTTATCTGGGTTGCCTGAGTCCATGGGGAATTGCATTTTTGGGTTCCAATTGTTCCTGTGACTCTTAATGTTTGTTTTTTTTGGGTTATTCTTTTTTTCTCCCCTTATAGTGTGTGTGTGCGTGTGTGTGTGAAAAGCTATTTATGCCCCTCTTTGTCTTTTCAGTTGCTGAGAGCTGACGTGGTGGTTCCTGGTGTCCTGGTGGTGGGGACTTCCCGTTTTGGTGTGCAGTGCCGCCCCCTTCTAGTCCATTGTTTTACAGAGTGCATGTGTGTAGTGGCTGCCACGAGTGATTTGGGGTGCCTTCCTTTTTGTTTTGGTTTATCTACTGGGATCACTCCTCACTTCGCCTCGACCCACTCCATCAGGTAAGCCTCAGCATCTGAATCAGGCTCCCCCCTCGCCTTCCCGTGTGTGTGGGTAGTATATTTTAACAAGACCTGTTATTTTAATCATGTTTAAATAAAGAATTGTTGTTTTTTCTAAATTATAACCACGTCTCTGACTCTCTCTATGGTAGAACGGATCTACGTATCTTACCTTTAAAATTAATTCTTTGGGTGAAATTCCCAAGGTGGCGTTATTGGTCCATCAGAAATTGCTAGTATCAGGTTCTCCTTCCTGTATACACCACCTGCTTGCCACATATAAATGAAACTGCATGTTCGGCCTGCAGGAAAAATAGATCATGTCGTACCACTCTCTCAGACAGGGCTACTCAATGTGCAAAAAAATCATTCCTATGCCATAGCAAACACCAGATGCTCTTCAGTAATGCTTTTATCACTGGGAACCCGCACCTTGGCAGACTGGTACTATGTCTGTGGCCATAAGGCTTACCCAGCTTTGCCTGCTGGATGGGGGGACGTTGTACTCTGGCGCTAGAGTCAGATCACACCATGGTTATGGAAAAAGTTGAGCAGCACCCCCATTATTCCCACCTACAAAAAAAGGTATGCTGAAGAAGACACAGGTATCAATTTCCCAGCATCATACTGGGGTGTGACCACAGATACAGGAGTCCCCATGAACTTTAGAATATGGGGGTGGGGTCCTAAACTTATGCAAGGTTTTTCCCATGGGTAGGTATTGACAGCCTCCCAAGGGGGCGTGTGTACCATTATTGGTCAGACATGCTGTACTTATGTACCCAATGACACCAATGGGGAAATAATACAGACCACTCTGGATGAGTTGAAAGATTTAAAGAGGTATGTTGACCATCACACCTCCGGTGCAAGTCCAGCATGGTGGCAGGTGCTGATGAAGATAGCTTTATCATTTGCAGGATTGTTTTTCATATTTTTCCTTTTTATTTGTTGCTTAATACCATGTCTCCAGTCAATGATTCAGAGAATGATAGGATCCACTCTAATCCAGTATTCAGCTGTAACTTATGTTCAACTCTGCCCGATGCTGGTGAAGATACAGATGATATGGTGGAAACTGTGTAATATGTTACAGGGATAATGATCGCTTCCTCGGGAAGGGTCGGGTAGGAATTTTCCCTCTATTGGAGAGGTTTTGCCTACTGAAGGGACAGATTTTTGAAGCTTTTTACATTCTTGATAAATCTTACATTTTTGCTTAAGTTTTACATTTTAATCCTTTTCATATTTTTGTTTTTTGCATATTGATCCTTGATTACTGAATTTCCTATCTGCAATGCATTTATGATGTGTGTAGTAACCTGCGAAGCCAGTTGGCTGATAGGGGGTTGCTGTATCCTCTTCTACAGTGATCATGTTTATGGCACAACAAATTTTTTTCAGATATCAGGAATACATATTCAGGAAAACTAATACATATCAAAACAGCTTGCCATAGTCTATTGTCACCGCCATAATATTAGACAACCTTTATTGTCATTTTGTATGCACAATGTATTCAAAATGAAATTTTGCTTAACACAGCTTTTCAGACAGTAAATGAACATTTTCATCCATAAAGTGCAGCAGTGATTAAATGTAAAAAAGTGTAGGAGAAATAACATGGTGCAAAAAAACCCCGCATTAATCTGGAAGTTTAACTCGCATTAATATCTATGGTGCAAATATGCAGTATTGTTGGTTTGGTGTCATCAGTGTGATGGCGTTGGGGAAGAAGCTGCTGCAGAACCTGCTGGTTCTGCATTGAATGCTGGGAAGTCTCTTCACAGCACCTCTACAGCTGAGCTGTTGATGAGCAGTGGAGCGTGGTTAGGACGGTTCTTCCTGAAGTCCACCATGATCTCCTTGGTCTTCTCCACCTTCAGGATCAGGCTGTTATCTCTGCTCCACCAGCTGCTCCACCTCCTCTCTGTAGTCCAGGTCGTTGTCGTCTCTGATGAGGCCCACCACCGTGGTGTCGTCTGCAAACTTCACCATGTGATTGGTGGTGAACCTGGGGACGCAGTCGTGTTTCATCAGGGTGAACAGCAGGGGGCTCAGGACGCAGCCCTGAGGGGAGCCTGTGGGGGGGATCATATCTCTAATGTTAATAGATCAAAGTATCTATTTAGGTTGAATCACCTGGCAGCAGGTGAGGATGAAGAATAAAAGGTTCTAATAGATGGAACCCCATCATCTCCTGGGGTTCAGATTGATTCTGGCTTCTATCACACAGTAAATACTCAGCGTCTGTTTGCAGCAGATTCAGATGTTATCGTCCCAATAAATGGTCGTTATTAGTGGTTATCAGTCTCACTGAACGGCTTCAGATTGTAGCAGTAGGCTCGGTAGGTTGTTATCCTCCAGTCAATCCTAATCCTAAGGTAATTCCTTTTCCCCCCAGGAATCGATTAATCTATTTATGTCTATTCTTAAAATAATTTCATTAATTCTTCTTGTACTGTAAAAATAAATAAATAAAATGATCTGCACGTTGCTTATATTAAACTAATCTCCTCTCCTCTCACTGAGTGGTAGAATCCTCTCCCTATAAATATTTCATTCTCTGTGAATGCCGATCATTCTTTAATTAGATCCTCATCAGACGGACATGCAATGTTTGTTTCTATAACCTAATGTGTCTAACAGACCCAGTGAATGATTCTTTTTATGAACTACGACAATAATCTGACTAAATCAGGAAATAAAACAGCGTGATTGGCTGTAAGGAGCTCTGAGAGGATGTTACTATGGCAACAGATACAGAGGCTGAGGAAAATCTCTCTGTGAAACGGAAACTCAGAGTTTTCCTGTTTTCAGATTTTTTAGTAAACCTGCTTTGTGAAACGGAGCCCTGATCTGATCCTCTCTGTTTGGGTTCTGCTCTAACAGCTGAGGTTCTGCTCCTCTGGTCCACTTCATTCATGGGCTCTGATTTCAGCGACCAGCTGATGGATCTGCTAAGGTCTGAACTTTAATCTGGGTCAGAACTTTAGGATGTTCCAGGATTTCTCCTGGACCTGCTGATCCTCACAGATGTTCTGTTAGAAGAACCTGGATCACATCCTGGATCCACTGGAAGAACCACACAGTTGGACAGGAAGTCAGTATAGATTTATTAGAATAGAACATTTCAACAGCAAAAAGATTCAAAGATCTTTAAATGATAAAACATCAGAAGCAATGAGCAGAAAAATCATTAAAATCATCAATCAGGTTCACAGCTAATCATCAAACATCAGAATCATCAGACAGAATAAAAGTTAAGACCTCAGGCTCTTATTAGCCACCTCAGCTAAGCTAAGCTATGGAAAACTAAGCAAATCAGTAAATAAATCAACAGAATTCATAAACATTAAATGTTTACAGTAAATATTGTCAAAATGTTTTAGTTTGTTTAAGGAGAAGCAGATGAAGAAAGTCTGTTTGAAACGTAAACATTTCTCTTGAATTATAAGAATCTAATGAATAATTGACATGTAGCTCCTCAAACTCTACTGCAATATGGTCCAAAGTCAGATTGGATCAAAGATCAAAGATGGATCAACAGACCGATCAGACTGAATGCTCAGCCAGCAGAGGAGTCGGATCAACAGAGCTGGTTCTGGTCCTGGTGTCCTCTGGTTGGACCTGGACTGTCCCTGCTGAGGAGACAGAAGACAGTCAGAGAGACAGAAGACAGACAGCAAGACAGGAGACAGACAGATAGCAAGAAAGTAAGAGAATCAAACCTTTAACTTTCAGATGAACTGTTTTCACTCTCAGCCATTCTCTCTTTTCTCCCTCCATCCAGACTCCACATCTGTAGTCTCTACTGTCTCTCCATGTTGGTCGTCTCAGAGTCAGGCTGAGGTCTCCAGTTCTCAGTGCGTCTTCATTCATCCTGGTTCTGTCTTTATAGATCTGCTCCTGTTCTTCAGGCTGATCAGAACCGTTCTGATACACATGGACTTTCCTGCCATCTCTGTCCCTCCACTCCACTCTAGCTTCTCCTGGCAGATCAGGTGTAGTCTTGAATGGCAGCAGGACAGACTCCGCCCCCTGTCCCACCTCCACCTGATGGACTGAGAGAAGAACAAATAGGATGATGAGCTGTAGAGACTTCATCATCATAATCAGCTCATCATCATCATCATCATCATCATCATCATCATCAGCTCTTCATAACCTTCTAGAAGGATTGTGCAGGAAGCTGAAGGTCAGAGGCAGATGAGAGCAGAAGGTAACGGAAAGGTTCTGCAGATGA